AGCGAGTGGAGAGCGTCTCTTTCAAGGGGAGGTTCTGGGCATTCACAGCAGCCAGAAAAGGGCAGATCGGTCCCTCGGGGTGGTGCTGGCAATTGGAGGGGGGGCGGCCCTCCCTACAGCGCTCTGGATAAAGGCCTCTTGGGTGTGGGAGGGATGGGGGAGAAATAGCAGCGCTCTGACACCTGGATGGAACTTGCGTGCAGCTCTTGGGACTCAGACATTCACCTTGGTTTCCGTGACCCTCGCAGGACGCCGGGCAGAGTGGACTGGCTGGAAAATCTGACTTAACTACCGAGGCATGCTGCTCCTGCTGGGATGCTCCGCTGTGGGAGGAGGGGGGCCCACGCCCAGTCTGGCTAAGGGGCTCTCCTGCAGGCTGCCACGTTAAGCAGCGGGCAGAAGAAGGGGGCTGGCTGGAAGTGCACCCCACACCGGTCTGGGGCTGCCCCTCCTTAGGGAAGGGGGGCTGAATCCCCCATTCCTACCGACGCTGCTGGTTGCTTGCTGTTCCCCTGCTGTCACTGTCAGGGAGTGAGAGGAAAGAACACGTCGTCCCTGCCTTCTTCCCTCCTGGCTGGGGCAGGGAGGGGGCAGAGGAATGTGTGACCCACCCTGCGAGTTTTCCTCTCGCCTCCGGACAGTGACCGAAGGAGAAGAGCAAGCAACAAGCAGCGTCGGTAGGAACCAGGCGGGGCGGAGGGGTCAGCCTCACTGCCCTTCCTAAAGGGCGCCCTTGCTCCCTCTGTCCTGAGTAGGGTTGCCAGGTGTCCGGGATTAACCCGGACAGTCCAGTATTTTCGCCTCCTGTCCAGTAAAAAAATTCAGAAAATACCGGACACCTGAAATGTCTGGTATTTCCTGGGTGTTTTTTTCCCCTGCCAGGAGGCGAAAATACAGGACACCTGACAACCCTACGACACACTCAGCAACCGGACCCAGCCCCCCTCCCAAGCCCCCCTCTATCCCAGCTTATCTGGGTCCTCTGGGGCTTGTCTTATGGCTAGTCCTGAGTCCTGCACTACCTTGTCCTCAGCCCTCCTGTTCTGATTCCTGCACCCCCCTACACACACCTCAGCCCTCCTGTTTTGATTCCTGCACACACCCCTACCTACCTCAGCCCCCTGTTCTGATTCCTGCACCCCACACACACACCTCAGCCCTCCTGTTTTGATTCCTGTACACACACACACACACACACACACACACACACACACACACACACACACACACCTCCTATCCTGCACTCCACCCCTGCACACCTAAATTTCTTAGAAGTTTCTGCACCCCTTATTCTCTTCCCCCTGTCCCTAACCCAAGGACATAATACTATAGTACCTGTAAGAAATGTAAGGTGTTTACCTGCAGATCCTAGGAGATGCAGAGTACTCACAAAACATTAACACTTTTGGGCACAAGATCAAGTCCTGTCCCTTAGGCAAAATAATTGTAAAATGAAAGACCGATCCAGTACTTCCGTCTGCTTGGCCAAAATTGGACTGTGGGCTGATTTATGTACCTTGCTGTGTTAAGACAAGGCCTCGTTCTGCGAGCTTGGCAGCACAGTAAATTGTAGTTGTGTGTGATGGGTACAGTGAAATTATTCAAGGTTAGTGCTGGTGCATTGCTTTCGGTCCTGAGTTCGGAATGAAATATTTCTCATTCCCGAGATTCCTACGTTCTGCATCCTCTCTCTCCGCACCTTCTAAAAATAAACAGGCTTCTTTTTCTCAGGAGGGGACCTCTTGAATTTCACTTTATTTCAATTAATGCTATTTTATACGCAGAGGAAACACTTTTGCTATCATGTATAATACCAGCATTGGAAATGGGCATTTATCTAGTTAGTGTGTAGGAGCAGAATAGAAAATTGTAAATGTCCCATTTAAAAGGAAAATCTTATTGCAACCTTAATGAGGGAGAAGCTGTCAGCCGCTGCATAATATATGTGTTTTAAAGGGATGCTTCTAAGTGAGTTAGGCCAAAAATTAGGTTTAAAAAGAATAAACCAGAGATTAATCTGAACCAAACACTCCTAAGCATTGTGGCTAGAGGAGGCGGTATCCTACGGCAATGAGTATTTCTAGAAAGATCATCCTGGGATGAGGTGGTTGGGGTTGGTTTTGATTTTTGGAAAGAATTGGATAAAAAGCGTTTTATGTTGTAAAATTTCCTTGTGAAAAAGCATTGCACCATTGTGCGAACATGCACAAACCGACGAGTTTGAACGGCTGACTTCATGCTCTCCAAAATGAGAGAAATGAAAGCAGTGACCTTAAAGAGTGGAAAACACTGATGAGTTTTGGTTTCTTTAAACTTTCCTTTTGGATGATCAAAGGTGCTGGACTCCAAAAGGAAATTTTGTGTTTGAGATGTGTGTATAAAACTATAATTTTTCACCGGAAACACTGTTACTTCACTGTTTTAAGCACACGCATGGGAACGCAAACAAAGACGATAATTGACAAAAACAAATTCTTGCTGCAGGGTCCTTTACCTGCCAGTAGGGGATGGATAACCTCTTTCCCACCCTACCCCCGTTCCTCCTAACCCCAGGAGAGATCTAGCCCAGAGTTTAACTTCTAGTTAGGTCTTTAGAGACATGGGTACAGGATCAGTCTTTTCTAAATTCAGAGCTACTCGTTCAGCCTGTGCAATTAAAGGAATACAAAATCAAGTTAGGACGCTCCACGCCGGGGTTCTGTGGCCTTCTCTCTGCTTGCTTCTGTCACAGGGAAAGATCTGTTTTTTGTGAACAACTCAATTCCCTCCGGTTCCTTCCAGTCTGATCCCTGCACTCTAGAGCTGGCTCCAGCTCAGAGAGCCCACAAGACCCTGAGGGGGGCAGACACTGCTGTCCCATCCCTCCCCTCTCCTACCCCGTTCCAGCCCCCTGCCATGCAGGAGAACAAGTTAAAAATCACTTAGAAAAGTTAGATGTCGTCTGCAAGACCCCAAGGCGGATGGAATGCATCCTGCAGTACGCAAGGAGCTGATAGGTAAAGGCTCAGATACCTCCTCTATCAACTTTGAAAAATTATGGAAGTCAGGAGAGACTAATTGAGGCCTAATCAGCACAGAGTAGAGCGGAAGAATGACTTCTCGGTCTTGCTCACAACACACCTGTTAATGCATCCCAGAATCAGGTTTGCTTTTTTCCCAAAGCTCTTGCCACCTCTCCCAGCTTGGTATCATCTGCAAACTTTATAAGCGTACTCTCTCTGCCAATATCTAAATCGTTGATGAAGCTATTGAACAGAACCGGTCACAAAACAGAGCCCCGCAAAACCCCTCTTGTTACACCCTTCCAGCATGATTGTGAACCCATTAATTACTCCTCTCTGAGAACGGTTAGTTACACATCCACCTTATAGTAGCCCCCTCTAAGTTGTATTTGCCTAGTTTATTGATAAGAAGATCATGCAAAACCGTATCAAATGCCTTACTAAAGTTTAGGTATACCACATCCACCGCTTCCCCTTTATCCATAAGATTCGTTATCCTATGAGTCAGGTCGATATCAGACTTGTTTTCTATCCCTAAATGTTAAACTTGCTTTGTAATCTGCCAGAGTCCTTCCTATACAGTCCCAGGCACCGACTCCAGGGGTTTGGAGGTGCTCCCGATTAGCTGATTGCAGGCTGGGGCAGGGCTTGAGAGAGGGTAGCAAGCAGTCCGGGAAGGGGACGGAGTGGGGGTGGGGAGAGCAGAATGAGGGCGGGGCTGTGGCAGAGGGAGTGGCCTGGGGGCAGCGCGGGGTTGGCACACCCCTGGGGAAAAGAGAAATCCCGCGCCTGTGTACACTGCTGCTCGGGTGAGATCTATGCTGTGAAGGTGACGTGTCCTCCTGGTCTGCAGTGACCTGGTTTGCCATCGTCCCCTCTGCACAGCCCTGTCCATTTTGGCTAGGACAAACACTTGCGATGGGTGAGATTTTAAGGGGCGACACGGTGCCTAGACACCTGGCAGTTCTTCGTCGTCTCTCCCAGCGCTCTGCTCTTTCAGGTGCCGAAGCGCATGTAACATTTCCCAGGTTGCGTTTCGTGCCAATGTATCCCTGAGTCTGGTTGTAACCTGTATGTTTTTGAGCCCAAGTACAGCATATGTAGGGCCCTACCATAGTCATGGCCATGAAAAAGAAGGCACCGACTGAAATCTGGCTGTGCATGTGCTTTTACCCCTATGCTCCAGATTTCACGGGGGAGACCAGCGTTTCTCAAATTAGGGGTCCTGATCCAAAAGGGCATTTCAGGGGGGTCGCAAGGTTATTGTAGGGGGGCTGATGGTATTGCCACCCTTACCTCTGCTTTGCTGGCAGCCAGAGTGTGGCAGCTGTTTGCCAGACACCTGTCCAACATTGCGTCTGCATTGCAGCAGGCCACAGCTCTGCCTTGCGAGCTGGACTCCCGGCCAGCAGCCGCCACTTTCCAGAGGCGAAGACAGCACCGCTGCCAGCAGCAGCACAGACATAAAGGCAGCAGCTCTACAAACCTATAGCTGTGAAATTGACCAAAGGAGACCATGAATTTGGTAGGGCCCTAAGCAGAACATCTGTGGAAATTGAAGCTTTAGGTTTGCACCTTGCTGCTTTTAAATATTATCCTCTAGGGATGGGAAAGTGGAACTGTGTAAACAGTTAACAGGTGAGCCAGGGCTCATCAGTTAACGTACACGGTTACACACAGGCTCCCAGTACGCAGGGAGTGAGCTGGCTTAAGAGCCGGTTCCTGGTGTGCACTAGCTTCTGTGGAGCAATCTGGCACCCTGTGCTGCTGCCTCTATCAAAGGCAGTTACGCATGGTGGCAGGTGGGAGCCGGCACACGTGGGAAGTTGCCTGTCACCCCACGCATAACCGTGTAATTGCTGACATTTACTTAAGTTACTTAATTACATCCCTGTTCTCTAACCTTTTCCACTGCATCTTCCGTCCTCCCCTCGCCCCGTCCCAAGGAAGTAAATTGCATTGTTGAGAACTGTTTCTTTTCTTCCTCTTCGTTCCCAGGGTTCTGGCTGGTGTGGACTGTCATCATCATATTAAGCTGCTGTTGCGTTTGCCATCACCGGCGCGCCAAACACCGCCTCCAAGCCCAACAGCGGCAACACGAGATTAACCTGATCGCTTACCGGGAAGCCCATAACTATACTTCCTACAGAGGGTCTGAATGTAACGGGGGGCAGGCTGGCTTTTGGAAAAGTGAAAGCCAGTGAATTGGTGAAGGTGGGGAGAAGCAGCTGGGTCAGAGCAGGAGGTTGGGAGCTGCTCCCACCCTGCTTGTGGTCCGTGGCAAGGAGGAAGTAAATTCTAGCTGCTGGGAACTCGAGGCCCTACTGACTCCGGAAGCAGATCTGTGCCAGCACCAGGACCTAATTGCTGGCCTTGTTCTGCTCCTGGATTATCTGGTCCTGCCTATGGAGAAGGTTTAAACAGACCCTGTTCAGGAGAGCTTGGGGGTTTCTGTGCTACTCCTGCCATCTCACCTCTTTTTACAGCTGCTTTGACTGGGCTAGAGGAAGTAGCTTGACAGAGGTCGGTCACCCGGGGCCTGGTGGGAACAGAGCCTCACCTGGGAGCCTTCTGGTTCCCAACCCTTCTCTGCACACTAGACATGTGAGGTTCCCAGGGAGCTGGCCAGTTCATTGTTACTGCAGCCACAGGAGCCGTATTGGCGGGAAGAGGAGAGCAGTTGCCCTGACGTGTGCTCATATAAGGACGTGTCACCAGGAGTTTCACCTCTTAAAGAAAGTTTTGATCGGTTGCTTAATTCCATCCACTTGAGCCAGTTTTGCCTCCTTAAGAAAATCTTTCATTGACTTGTGGACCCCTTATAAGCATAAATAGAAAAGTGATAGAGATGCAGCCGTGTTAGTCTGGTCTAGCTGAAACAAAAAACAGGACCATGTAGCACTTTCAAGACTAACAAGGTGGTTTATTAGATGATAAGCTTTCGTGGGCCAGACCCACTTCCTCAGATCAAATAGTGGAAGAAAATTGTCATTGTCATATGTGTTCATTTTTTTAAATTGTATCCTTTGGTATATATGGTTGTGACAATTTTCTTCCACTATTTGATCTGAGGAAGTGGGTCTGGCCCACGAAAGCTTATCACCTAATAAACCACCTTGTTAGTCTTGAAAGTGCTACATGGTCCTAAGTTCCCCTTGGGACTCCTGGGGCAGCATTACTGTAGCCACACCAGAAATCCTGAATCCAAGGTTAAAATATGGACAAGTGTCTTATATTCCATGTCACTGGCCCCCCCTTACATATGCAAAAAGCTTCAGGAGGTGAAATCTTTGTTTTTTTAATTGAACCGTGTATGCCTATAGAACCCCAGCCTCATAATCACCTAATCCATTTCTTGCCTCCAAGGCAGGACTGTCATATTTAGTGCTATGCCCAGGGTGGTCCTGTAGCTACCGCATGGGACTGGGAGTCTAGAGATCTGGATTTTATTCCCAGCTCTGTACAGACTCCCTCTGACCTTGATCTAGTCATGCCTGCTTTCTGTGCCTCAGTTTCCCCTTCTCTGAAATGTGACTAATAATACACCCTGGATGGCATAGGGACTGGTGCTAACTCCTCATTGCTTGGTTTGGAAGCCGCTAGAGATGGGCCAGGAATTATTACCTTTGGTGAATGACATTGACCGATTGTTAAATAACAAATGTCGGGAAAGTTGCATGTGAAATAACTTCTCCTACTTCCCCATTTTAGGATTTTTGCCAAATTATTTACTGCCTCCCTATGAGGAAGTGGTGAACCGACCTCCAACCCCTCCCCCACCGTACAGTGCCTTACATCAGCAGGGTGTCCAAGCAGGCAGCAATAGCACGATCCCGGATACACCCCGAAATCTACAGCCAGCCCAGACAAGCTCTCCTCCAGCTCCAGGTGGCAGTCACAGCAGCACGGACAACACTGGGTCCTTCAGTGTCCGGGAGCCAGAACCCTCCATGACATTGGTTGAACGCACAGTCGCCAAAGGGCAGGGTACGGAGCCAGGCCACTCCAGCACTGCAGCGGAGCTGGAGGAAATGGCCGATCCCGTACCCTTCCCCGATAAGGAGTCAGAGTGCAAGGAGGAACTGCTGAAAGACTTCAGCTGTGAAAGCCTAGACCAGAACACCGCGCTGCCCGATGCCAAGGACAAGTCCCCCGGCAGGCACCGCCGTTTCACCGGCGACTCAGGCATCGAAGTCTGCATCTGCAACCGGGGCCACCCCGACGACGACCTCAAGGAGCTCAACGGGCTGATGGACGATGCTTTGGAGGGGCCCCTGGACTTCTGTGACAGCTGCAGCGGGCGCCCCCACGGGGATGAGGAAGAAGGGCTTTTTAATGCCTCCGAAGAGCAGCCCCGTGAACACAACCACCACCATCTGCCTCGGCACCCGGCGTGTGTCCTCCTGAACACAATAAACGAGCAGGACTCCCCCAACTCTCAGACCAGTCACTCGCCCAGCTAAAGTGGCTGAGTCCAAAGGGAGCCCAGAACAGGCTTAAGAACAACTTAAAAAAAGGTGACACAACCTTCCCCCCCACCCCCCAGATGTGCTTTTGGGGACATTCCCAAAACTCCTGCTTAGGAGGGTGGACAACTGTTCTTGCTTTGTTTTGTTTTTTAAATCACACCCCTCCTCCTACATAGGGTAGGGACTGCAGGTTCCAAATGAGACTTCCCTAACGATGATTTGGGTGATGGATTATTGTTGGTCTTCGTTTTCCAAAACCTGCTTGATCTTGCAAGTAAAGCTCAGCAAGTCTAACCCTGCGAGGATGAGAAATGCAGTATGGCTGCACCCTCCAGGTGTCTTCCCCAGAAACGCACAGCTTCCGATCGCCCTGGCAAGCTGCAGCCCACCAGTTCTGGTTTGAGTCGTGCTCTCGAAGGAGTAGAGCTAATCCAGGTTTTCCCCCACACCGCTAAGTCACTAGGTCAGAACAGCGCTGTCCCGCTGGTGCTTCAGGAACAGGTAGGGGGAGGAGATTGCCCACGCGAAGCTGGTAACGGACAGACCAGTTTCTTCCAGGTAGAGTGTTAGTCTAGACCGTACACGTCGCAGAAAAGGTTGCAGGTTTTGCCTGCACCTCTCTCTATTTTAAAGGCAAGTAGATGGCTTTCATCGATGCCTCTCAGAGCACGCCTCTGAGTTAGAATCCGGGCAGCTGGGCTGCCTTTCCAAGTACTGTGGTCGCTACGTGACATTCAACTTTGTGTGCTGCATCCAGTTTGGCCTTTTTTTTTTTATTTTATGTTTCATTTTATTATTTGTACCCTTAGGGCAGCACTTTAGTTGAGAGGACAAAACAAAAAACAGGGCTGTCTTCGGCCAGTGTGCCTTCAAGTTCCAGTGATGCATGTTGAACAAATGGGAGACAAAAGCTCCATCCATTGCAAAAATATTACTCGCAGTGGAGACCTGGGCAGTATTCTTTTTGTTTTTATCCAGACATTTGGTGTGATTCTGATGCTGACCACTGAAGAAATGAATGTCTAAGGGTTTTTTTTAAGGTGCCAAGTGGCTACTGTATGACGGCTGGGGGTGTGTGTGTGTGACTGCAATACATGCATGTCCTACTGGTAATACGAATCCTGCTGTAAGACTGCAAGACAATTTACTGTAGCTTTGCTTTAATAAACAGTAGAGTTTTTGTTAGTATAACCCAAAGGGGGGAAAAAACAAACAGCTGAACCTAACATTCCCTGGAGCATTCCTGTGGATGAGGGCAGGACTCAATCTGTGTATGACGTGTACTTGGGTGTCCCTCTAGCTTCCCTTCACTTTTCGGTCATTTCAGCCGTTACTGTTACGGGGGGAACAGAAACCTTAGCACAGGCATTCAGATCTGATCGATCGAAACCAAAATCAGTTTACAATAACGTGGAAACCAAATACATTGCCTTTTCTGTAACTCAGTCGCGTGCGTGTCATTTTGTGATCCGAGAACAAACGTCTGGTTCAATTTTACTGGACATACACGAGGTTCTACTGGTAACGAATGTGGGTTGTTCAAGGTGTTTCGTTTAAGTACGTGACAGGGCGTCCCTGCTACAAGTTGCCCGGTATACATCCGTTCCGCACTAAAGTCATTGATGCTTTTAGGAACTGATGCGTTATAAGTCCTCCCATTCCCCGCTCTTAAGTCACGCCAAAAAAACACCCCAGTTGGCGCCAGTGGAAGTCAGCTGTGGGAAAAGAATTCCCCGCTTTCAGTTGTTTTACTAAGTCCATGTTTTTTGGAACGTACCTTGGACTTGCAGCCAGGCCGGCCTGTCCATCTCTGCCGAAGAGAGCACATTTTAGTATGTGCTTGTTCGTCTGAAATGGGCAACTTTTTAAAGGGCAGCCCTTTCTCTCTCCTCCCCCCAGCTTCTGCCCAGCGGCCTGTCCTGGGCTTTTCTCTGTGTCCACTGTGGGGGTTGCTGTGGTGGACAGGACCCTGGAGTCCCAGGGACTGTTGTGCCGGTTTTGTGGTGGAGGTGGGGCAGGCTTTCAACGTCGGCACTTGCTCCACAAAAGGCCGGACCTGGCCGTTCCTCAGCATGTACCCGAGGTGGATGCTTTCTCCTTCCCCGTTTTGCACTTTGCTGGGTTTGCTGTGAATCCACTGGTCTTCTGGGTACCTGAGGGTGGCCACCCCAAGAATCAAGCGGCTCCTCCCCCCATTGTCCTGCAAGGTTGGAACGCTCCCCCACGTTAAAAGGGTTGATTCTCGCAGAGGGCACCCTTGGCTCCTCACCTGCTTGGGAGCCCCCTGCTGGCCCGGCCTCTTCATCTACACCAGGGTTTCTTAAACTGTGTTCTGCAGCACACCGGTGTGCTGCGGAGAACAGAATTCAAAATGGCCGCTCTTAAAGAGGCAGGTGACCTTTTTTCTCAATAACTTTCCCCGGACCCTTTTTTTTCCTCAACAAAAAATCCTTGGTGTTCCTCATTAAAAAAATTTTTTGGTCTTCCTCAGTCTTCAAAAGTTTAAGAAACACTGATCTGCACCTTTCCAGCCTGCTGGGTTCCTGGCCCCCATGTGCTGAGGCAGCCTGGCTTGGAGCACAGGGGCTCTCCAAATCTCTTCCATTCTCCCCAGAGCACTGCCCAGCCTGAATCAGTGGGCAGGGGACCCGTGTGTTCCTGTCAGGCCAGTTGGGCCTGTCCACTGGGTGGAGTTGTGCATTCCCGTGGCTGTAAATCTACAGTCTGCCCCGGGGGCCCTGACCTCGACTGAGTGAGCCTGGAAAAGAATTTGGCTGCACCCTGCACCAACCAGTTCTATGGCCTCAGTCCCTTGGATCGGGGTAGCTGTGGCCCGGATCAGCTTGTGTTTCTGGCTTTCTGCTGCCTGCAGCTGCCCTCCCGCTACCGGCAGTGTCTGTGTGAGAGCCGAGAGCAGCCCTTCGGCCCTTGGCAGACGCGGATAGGAACGGTGGGGCTCTGTTCTGGTCCTGCCACCTGCCGAAGTGGCACCGCGCGGTGGACCAGCCCGAGAGCCCCTTCTGAAGGCAGGAGAGCTGCTCTGCAGAGCTCCCCAGTCATGGGACGCCAATTCCGTCTCCTCCTTATGCGTCACCGTCGGTTTCCTGCCTTCCCATCTCTCCACTAGCTCACCTGGGGAGAAGTCGCTGCCATCCATGGAGACCTGAGAGCCAGGTCCCTCGCTATGCCCTCAGACAGGGCTGCCAGCTTGGCTCCCTCCTCCTTCGGAGCAGGGGAGACGCCTGAAGGAGGGAGTGTCTGTCTCCAGACATCTCTGCACATCCCCAGCCACCTGATCCAAGCCGCTATGGGGAGGTGGCCCCCAGAGGCTGGGGGCAGCGACTCAAGGGGCCGGATCTGGGTGATGCCCATGTGCCAGGCCTGCTGCTGCTAGGGCTGCCTCTGCCCGTCCCTCGCGCGCTGCACAGCTCCGGACTCTCCCTCGCACAGGGCCAGGTCGCGGCCTGCGTCCCCCGCCCCAGCTCGGCACAAACCCAAAGGGGATCACTTGGCTGTCGCCCCCTTCAGGCAGCTCCCCCCCTCCCCCCCGGCCC